GGAAGCTAAATCAGGCCAAATTATTGTATAAGAATTGCAATTAAGGTTGTAATATATAGTAATATAATTGATGATGAATTGTTGTTATTAACGTGTGTTTGAATTGGTTGGTGAATGATTAATGACTATTGACTAATGAGTATGTATGTATACTAGTATACTACTACTATTTGAGTATATTGACTTCATTAAAATTTAATTTAGTGGATTTATTATGAGATCAAATTTACTAATTATATTTCAACTGCGTATGAAGTTATGAACTCATTTTGACACACCACACACCTTATATTGACACCCCTTAGGCAAATTTGAGTTGCCAGTTTTGCGACTTTCCTCCAATTGATTGGAAACTGCTAACTCTTTTATGCCCAAACAATGAAATTGGGAAATTATAAAACAGTACTACGTAATCATATTTAATTTGCGGATTTGGCATTGCAACTCTTCTTAACATTTGAGGGAAAACGTTTAATTAATAAAGGCCCTGTTTGGTTTGATGTAAAAGGTTTTCATGGAAAATGAATTTTCCATTTTTTCCCATTTTCATTTGTTTGGTTTGTTAAGGAGTGGAAAACAATTTTTCAAGGGTGGAAAATTCCATCTTTAATGATGGAAAACATTTTCCTTCCAAAAACAAGGGAAGCCACATTTTCCTCTCTCTTCCTTACCTCTTTTTTTACTTCCCTCTCATTCATCCCTACATTTCCACTCTTATTTTTTTATTTTTCTTGGACTTTTCTTGTATGCAACCAAAAAAATGGAAAACTAATTTGCAATGGTGTTTTTCCTTGAAAATATGTTTTCCATGAAAACTAATTTTCCATTGAAAATGTTTTACGTTAAACCAAACGGGGCCTAAGTCTCATCATTTCACTATCATCGATCTACTACTTCATTCACTTTTAAAGAGCCAAATCTCTTATCTAATAATTTTATTATTCACTTTTTTTGCAAGTATTTTTTTTTTTTTATAAATATTACTACCTTGTTTATTTATTCAATTTTAATCAACCAATTAATAAGGCAATAACCCCCTTTGGACCCTATCTTACTTTTTTCATTCAATCACTTAGGGTCTGTTCACTTCAGCCTAATTTTAGTTCAGTTCAGCTCCAATCAGTTAAGTTTACTTTAGTTTAGTTTAGTTCGGTTCAGTTCAGTTCAACTCTTAATTTCTTTCTCTCATAAAATATTCATTTCAACTCTATTCAATTCAGTTAAGCTCCAATCACTTCAGTTCAGCTCCAATCAGTTTAGTTCAGTTACTAAATGTGAACATGCCCTTAGAGATGATGGAAGGAGACAAGGAGTACAATTCACAGCTTCTGACCTACACAACCTTAGCCTTTAGGAAATTTGATGATGTCCATCACCGATAAATATTGGATATAAGAAAGTATATTTGTATGATTTATTTTCATTATATAATCTTCAAACTGATATTATAAAACTAATATCTTTGTAAAAATATTTTTAATTAATGCTAAGAAATGATTTGCTAATAAAGATTTACATTAATTACTTAAACAGAGGTTTTTTAGTACGGCAAGCCACATGGTGCGACAGGGGGTTACTTGTAGAGTGTTACTTGTATTTTAGAGTTACTTGTATTTTGGGATTACTTATATGGGTTACTTGTAGGGTGTTACTTGTATTATGAGGTTACTTGTACGGGTTATTTATATCGTGGGGTTACTTGTATTTTGAGTAACTCCTACAAGTAACTCCAGACCAAAATCCCATACTAAACCAGTAACACCCTATAAGTAATTTCTGACCAAAACAAGTAACACCCATACAAGTACCCCAGAATACAAATAACCCCTGACAAAACAACACCTACAAGTAACCCTTGACCAAAACCAGTAACACCCATACAAGTAACCCCAGAATACAAGTAACACCTACAAGTAACCCCTAACAAAACCAGTAACACCCTACAAGTAACCTCTGCTGCACCATGTGGTTAGCCGCATGCAAAACACAAACTTTTACATGTGGCTGGCCACACGGTGTGGCCAACCACAATTTTTTATTTTTTTTTTAAATCACGTTATCTCTCCTTTTTCACTTTCCTCTTTTCAGCTGTTCTTCAATTCATCTTCTTCAATTAATCCCCAATTTCCAGATTTTTTCCTTTTTAGGGTTCCATTTTCTCCAATCTCAATCAAATTTCATGAAGGTCGTGGAGACTGACATCGGAAGCATGGTGACGGCGGAGAATGTCGTCTGATTTTCCAATGACGGTGATTTTACCGCCGTTTAAGACAACGACATTTTCGAAAATCGAAGCTCGGAATCCATGGTTACAATTAGTGTGATGTGAAGACTAGAATTGGTAGAACCTTATTTTATTTTTATTTATTTATTTTTTGAAAATGTAGAACCTGCTAATACAATTACTTCTCTCGCTCCCTCAGTACCAAATAAGTGTAGTTCATCATTTGATTTGGTGCTAATAGAAAGATTTGTGATAAATGCTTGTAAATTAAAGTTTGTTAAAGCTAGTTATTCACAATTATATTAGTTGTTGACTCCATTGTTTGAGTTGAGTGTAATTTTTAGTTTCTTAGGACATTGAAGAGTCAGAGATGGTTGATTGTTGTGGTGGTTGGAATTGGTGGTTTGGTGGCTTCTTTAGTGGTGGAATTGGTGGTTAATTAGGTTAGGAGTTACTTGGTCGGTCAGGGGTTACCGATTCGGTTATGGGTTACTAGGTCAGGGGTTACTAATTTGGTTTGGGTTACTTGGTCAGGGGCAGTGGCGGATCCAGGATTTCCGACTTGGTGAGTCACTATCAATTATTGATTACTTTTTTTTTTTTTTTTGAAAAGCAAAAATATTTCATTAATTAAAAGTCATACGACATCTACAATAGAGATTCGACGTTAACAAATACATAAGATATTGAATCAAATAGAATATTCCTTCATAAAAACTACGATCGTCGAGTAGATCTTGCACTGCGGAGCATCTCCCGCTTATATCGCTAAAAATTACAGCCTTGTTGGAGAGACAATCTAACGATCCTTTGTAGCCGTGAGGATGTTTTCCTTCTGATTCATCTGTTCGTATTCGAAAACTTAATAACTTTTTCACCAACGAAATACTTTCACGACAATCCATTAGATCTGCTACTATGGATTCAAAATTAAGAAATTTCTCCCTCGAAAAGAGGAGATAAACCTTGTCTTTTGAAGGAGGTCGAAAAACCCTTGTCTTTCGAAGGAGATCGGAAACCCTTTCTTTCGAGGGAGAAAAATTCCTCCCAAAAGGAGGAAGTATTATTATAAACCTAAAAAAACAATAAAGAAACAAGGATTGGGGCTTTCCACCGATTAAAATCGATGGAAGCCCCTTAATTATTGATTACTTGTGAAAGTACAAATAATTTTTCCAAATCTTGTTCATAATTAATTTCAATCCAAAAATTATATATATATATATAAAAAAAAAATTATATTTCACCAAATCGATTTCAATCTAAAATAGGACACAAAAATCCATAATACAACCAAATACTCCGTACTACTTAAAAATTCAATCTTAGAAGTTGAAAATATTACAAATAACATGTTACAAACAAATAGTAATATAAAACTATTACATTAAATTTATGATTTTTTACTTAGATTTGTGGGAAAATATTAAGATTGGTTGCACAAATATAGGATATAAAATTATAAATAGAAGCAAAAATTAAGTAAAAGAATGAGATAACTTAAGAGATCTGTTATTAAGTATAAGCGGTCTCTTTAATGAAGAAAGAAAGCAGCTCCAAAATGTGAAATGCAATAGCAGCATCAAAGAGACCACTTACCTTTATAGTTGGTCTCTTTGATATTTTTATAAAAGGAAACCCGTAGCATCAAAGAGACCGCCTCTCTACAATAAGTGGTCTCTTTGATATTTTTATTTTAAAAAAAATTCAATTTTTTTTGGTGCTGCTGAGTCACGTGACTCAGTGTGCACCAACACAAATCCGCCACTGGTTAGGGGTTACTAGTCCGGTTAGGGGTTACTAGGTTGTAAGGGTTACTTTGTCAGGGGTTACTAGGTTGGTCAGAAGTTACTTTGGTGAGGGGGTTACTTGTGTGTTAGCTGGACATACGGTATGGCCGGCCACACACAAAAATTGCTGTTACACCAAATATATCTTTAGAATATAAGATAGGCTTTAGGAGATTGTTTCATTTTTTATTTTTATTTTTTTTGAAGAAATAGGAGATTGTTTCATAATTTATGTTACGGAGAATTATCTTTGATTTTGTATAAATATTATATCTATTTATACTTTAATTTATAAAGGATCTTGTTAACGAACGCCTTCGGGGCGTTGGATAAGCATTTAAAATCTTACCTAAAGTAGTATTAATTTGGAAAAGCATCATAAAATCACGCGTCGATCCTTGTAATTAATGTTAGTTTTAATTTAATCTTTCTATTTTTAACTAGTTTATCTAACACGTGGGATGTTCCTTAGCATTTTTCATTTATAAATCAAGAAAATAAAAAACTTTCTTTAAAAATATCGATCAAAGAACCCACGCAACTACCATGAGTCAGCATGACCTATTGTCCACCAAATTATCCTCCTCTCCCTCTACTCATATTTTGGTGATTAGCATTAAATTAATTTCCTTGGTCTCCAAGCTTTTTTTTAAAACAAAAAAATATGATTATTTAATTTTATTTACAAGATCGAGCTTGGCCTCCAAGTATTTGCTTAATTAACTTTCTAAAAATCTTATCATATATTCCCCTAAATTTATCTTAGTTTTAGGTTTCCACAAAAAAACAAATTCGTGCCTCTTTAGTCCCTTACAAGGCGGTTTAACACACACTATAAATACAAGTTGTTCTTCACTCTTTCAATGAAATACAGCTAGTGTTACTAGCTAAATTTTCCTCCAATTTCTAAGTCTCTCCGATATTTTAAAAATCGGAGAGAATATCATCACTAGAAAACCCTAAAAATTCCTATCCTGGCTTAAATCATGGAAACTACATTTAATGTAGGGTCTATATTTGGGTACTATGCCTCTTTTTCGGCTTTTTTAACCCTAGGCCAACAATCTTACAATCAATTTGTCCCTCAACAAATACGTGAATACATTAATGAGAAAGTCTTGAATTGGTTCAAGAAACCATCAATTTTAGACCCCAAGATTTTTACATTAGTCGTTCGAGAGTGCTACAAAAACGAAGGCTACAATTGTAGCAACGGTGTATACAGGGCTTGTGAAGCATACCTTGCCAACAAGCTCAAGCCTTTATCGACACAACTCGAGGGATGTCGTAGGGACGAGGACCACGGGCACGACGTGTACTACCACCTATCGCAAGGGGAAGAGTATGTCGAGTATGTAAAATTAGACGAAAATAATGTAAATGTAAAATTACATTGGGAGTTTTCTTGCAAGAATGATAAAGGAGAGAAAGAACAGCAGATTAATGCCTCTAATGTCCATAAATCCTTTTTGTTGAGTTTCGATCCTCAATACAAGGATATAATTCTCGGTAGCTATATTCCCTCGGTCGTGATGAAGAGTTACGACACTATGATCGAGATGAGTAAGGATATTTTTCTGTACACGTATCAAGGCGGGATGTCATCGAGGCATTGGCACCCCGTGTCGTTTAAACATCCCTTCACATTCGATGCCTTGGCATTGGATCCGGAGTTGAAGAAGTCGATTGTAGATGATCTCGATAGGTTTATAAAGAGGAAGGAGTTTTATAAAAAGATTGGGAGAGCTTGGAAGCGAGGGTACTTACTGTATGGACCTCCCGGGACTGGCAAATCTAGTTTGATTGCAGCTATCGCGAATTACCTTAAGTTTAGTATCTACGACTTACAGCTTTCTGGCATCGAAAAAGATGCTACCTTAAGAAATTTGATGATGTCCATTACCAATAAGTCTATACTTGTGATCGAGGATATCGACTGTGCCACAGGGTTGTCGAAGAAGGCTCCTCTTACAAGGGAAAATCATGAGTACAATGGTTATACTTCTGATGAGTACGATTACAATGAATACGATAATGATGATAGCATTAAAGTTCAACCAGGAGGTGAGCCTACTTCCAATGATGTAGCCGAAGTTAGCAACACTTTATCGCTTTCAGGGCTATTGAACTTTATCGATGGATTGTGGTCTAGTTGCGGAGATGAGCGGATCATCATCTTGACAACGAATTATAAGGAAAGGTTAGACCCGGCATTGTTGCGTCCAGGACGTATGGATATGCACATTCACATGTCTTACTTGAGAATGCCGGGGTTCCGGATCCTGGCTTCCAACTACCTTGGCCTATCAGGGGAGCATCCTTTGTTTTCGAAGATTGAGGAACTACTAAATACGACAGACGTGAGTCCTGCTGAAGCAGCGGAGGAGCTTATAAGGAGTGAAGATCCTGATATTGCCCTTGCCGGAGTTGTTAAAATGTTAAAGCAGAAGAAATCAGATCAAAGCTCTCAAAAACAGAAGAAAAGAAAGAAGAAGAGAAATAAGAAGGGTAGAAAGGCAATGAAAAGGGAGAAAGTAGATGCAAATGTAAACAATAATGATGAATTGACTAGTCAAGTAGTAGAGGGTTGAATTTCGCAGTATTATTGTAATTTAACTCATTGAAATATGCCTAATAAAACTCGATTTCAAGTAACTCTGAAACAGAACATTAACAGAGATGACCAAATTTTCGACTTTTTAAACAGGCAAAGCATGGACTGTGTGAACATTTAGACTGTAAGAGACATTATTGATAAAATTCTTTGTTAACTAAATCAAGTCTACTGTATCGGAGACTATTGCCAGGGCTAAAAACAGAGGAAAAGCAGCAACTTATAATCACACAATACTCTATATTTTAGGATCTTGCAGGTAAAGAGCACATGGAACAGAAACAATTTAACAATAATTTATAAGAAATAATATAGTCATATGAGATCGTGTTATATTTGTTGCGGAAATAAAACATTCAGATACAGGAAATTGCAAAAATACTCTACTAGTGTACTTATTACAATAAACTCAAATTAAAACTACACAAATAACATCCAATCAGATTCTTCAAGGTGGGTTTGGATCCTTGAGGACAAGACAGCCTTGCTGCAGGAAGAGTTTCTGGTTTTCGTCATCTGGGTATATGCGAGATGATGACACCAGTTTTCTCAAGGATGGTCTGTTTGTCACTATCCATGCTATTATACTGATATCCAAATTCCAACAGGAACTTATGCTCAAGTATCTCAGTTGTTTACACGATTTCACCACTTCCTTTACTCCTTTTTCTGTCACTAGAAGGCAAAACTCTAGATCCAGGTGAATCAATCTGGGGCACACCCTCCCTAACTTGGTAAGCAATTTATCATTAATATCTCTAAATGAATACTTCAAAATCAGCTTCTCTAACACTGGCAACTCCATGTCTTTTGCAGTTAAATCCTCGATAATACCATGGGATCCTCCTATATCCAGTTTCACAAGCTTCTTGCTGCACTCTAGTATATCAGGAACATTCAGTTTATCATGGCGTACGAATTTACAATGACTTAGGTCGAGCTTCTCCACTTCGGGAAATATGGTAAGAAGCCTTTTCAGAACTGTAAGGCTAAAGTCATAATGAAATGCTAGGTTCAAGTACTTTACTGCACGGTTCTTCATTAGGCCATCATAATTGTATTCTTCTGTTCCGAGGCTTGAACCAGTCATCGCAAAATGGCACAGACGAGGGCATCTTTGTGTGATCATAACAAAAGCTGAATCAGATAGATTGGAACAATTAAAGAGCTTAATTGATGTCAGGTTTTGGAGAAAACAGGATAAGTACTCTATATGCTCATTTGTGAGGAATTTTACTCCCATGAATCCCCCCAAGTCTAAAGACTTGAGAGATTGAGAAGTTTTCAGCAGGAGCCTTGAGATCCCAGTAAACGTGTAGCTTTCGCAATCTATTACAGCCAAGTCGGTAAAAGAAATTCGTGCTTTTGCTATAGAAAAGAGAAACTCATCCGATATGTCAACGTCGTAGAGCCTTAGAGATCGTAAGTTGGCTAGGAAATTAGAAGAGCCATTGACTCCAAACGTATCAATATTAAGATCTTTATATATGTAAAATAATTTCAAATGATGGCTATTGTTAACGAGGAATGATATCCCTTCTACTGTCACTTTATTATACTGATAAATTTTAATATGCTCGAGTAATGGACAGTTTTTTGACAGAGAAACAAGGGACTTATCTGTTATAAATGCTCTGTTGGAAAGGTCTATCTTACGTATTCTTTTGAGCTTGGATGACATGTAATCCACCCCTTCATCAGTGACAGTAGTAGTATACTCTCCTTCATGATCGATATAAAGTTCTTCAAGATTAGGAAACGAGTCTGCTATTCTGGCAAGATCAACATCTCCACGTCCACCTGAATATTTGAGTACTTTCAGATTCTTCATGTTTGAACTCAGCTCCTCATACCAAACTGCTCGTTTATATTGATCGTGTGACAAAGCAATCAACTCTTCCAAGTCCAAACCTGACCGTGCAATCAAAGTAACAGCTTCATTCAGGTCTCCTCTAAAGTTACAGAACTGTATCTTTTTAAGGTTGGAAAATCGCTGCATTAGCCTAGAGATGGTTGAGATTGGTGTATAATCTGAGAACTTTATGCTAACTCGTAAGGAATTGGTGATTGATAGGAATCTCTTGCAGACTAAAGAGATTGATTCTTGGTCCCTTTTATGATGGAGACGATCAAAGATCATCTCCCAGCATTCATCGTGCAAATCTTTGCTTTCTTCTTCCATTTTGATCTGCACTAATGGATGGAATTGGATCAGATTATTAGCAACATGAGACAAGATATTAATATATTATCAAGCCAGTGCATTTTGGTTTCCTTTACATAAGTAACATAACAATGTGATCTTTATATGCACCCGAAAAAAAAAAAAAAAAATGATCTTTTCGAATTTGACTGGTTTTATGTACAGAACAAGGTTATTATCAAGCCAGTGCATTTTTTTTTTAACATATATATTATGCTTTGACATAGTTTCTAATAGTGATTGATCACCTAAATCTGAATACAAAAATCCCCTTAAAAAAGTTACTCAGTCCTGAATTCAATTACTTGATTTTCGCTCAACTACACACAACGTGATAGGCTAATAGCATTCATATGTAGATTCAATAAGCTACGAGATGGGATTCGTTAAAAGACCAGCTGAGCATTATTAATGGTGTCATTACTGAGACCTATTATCTTTTTTTTTTAGTACATCCCAATACAGAAAAAAATAAATTAAACTAAATTAGCTCAACAATATGCACGTCTTTAAGCGAATCCTATCTCATAGCAGATTGAATTTATGTACGAATGCTATCACCCAATAATGTCAGTATTTTTGCTGAGCAATAATAAGTGAACTGAACTTCACAAAAACAGAGTAACTTTTTTTTGCAGTAAATTTCTGTAACCAGATTTAGGTGATCAATCCGCCGAGTATTTGAAACTATGTTAATGTATAGTATATTAAAAAGTAAAAATGCACCGGCTTGATATATGATAACCTTGCTTTGTAAATAAAACCAAAGTGTCAAAACTTGAAAAGATCAAATCACATTGTTATGTAAAGAAAACCAAGTCAAATGTCGAAAAGATCAGATCATGTTGTTATGTAAAGAAAACCAGTCAAAACTTGAAAGGATCAAATCACATTGTTATGTAAAGGAAACAAGTCAAAAATGGAAAAGGTCAATCATGTTATTGAAAGCATAGTGTTAAATTCAAAAAGATCAAATTGTTTAAGCAAAGGAAACCAAAATCAATCAAATAACACTGCAATTTTTCCCAGAATTGCGTTCACATTAACTACTCATCCAACTCAAGTATTACACCAGGCGCTCTGTAATATGATATTTGTGTTGCTAAAACACAACTAGTGTATTAGAACTGGTAAGAAAAATGACAATTGATTCTACTTTATCTTACATACTAGACTTTCAGTTGATTATATGGCACTCCTTACCCAAAATCTTTTCTAAGCACGGTGCACGTAGATCTTAGGCGCTCGCTCTCTTATGCTTCTCTGCATTGACAGACTTGTGGTGCTCTGTTTTTCCTCTGTCTCAACAAGGTCTTCATATAGTGAAAGAAATTTTATAATTTTAAGTTTGTTGAACATATAAAATCAAGTTAAGGACATAATCATGAATTTGTCAATATGTTCTGTTTCTTGGACTTCCATTTCAAGGGAAATCATTTCCAATGTAAAAATTATGAACTAAATGAATTAACATAAAACAGATCTAACGAACGCCTAATACAGAGAACTTTGATCATTATCAAAGGACATAGATGAATCTTCCCCCATCTACATAAACAAACTTTAAACTATCATGAAGACATTGAAACTAATTTTGTCTACCGAAATCCTAAATAGAGACCAAAGACCCAAAAGCCCCACCAATGACAATAACTAGAGAAGAAAGGGAAGAAAGGGGGAGAGTAAATACAAACATTCCATCTCACTTCTTTTTTTTCTGTGGCGGTTGCTGCTTTTCATCATCATCGTCTTCTTCTTCATCATCATCATCTTCATCATCATCGTCACCATCGTCATCATCGGAGTCGTCATCATCGTCATCATCATCACTACTGTCCGCACCACCGTTTGCCGTATCCTCTTCAGGATCTCCATCATCATCACTCTCCTCACCTCCTGAGAAGTCCTCATCATCATCGTCGTCATCATCACCACCATCACCATCATCATCATCATCTTCTTCATCGTCGTTTTCTGAATCACTGGCATCCTTGGCCTCACCTTCAGCTTTCGTTACTTCGTAAAAGTCAGACAAAGAAATCCTGCCAATTCAGAGTAATCACCGGTCAACTAATATTCCACACAGTACAACAGAAATTAAAAAAATGTGGAAGGTAAGTAAATACCATTTGTTCTTGAAAAGATCACTGTCTGCAAGATGTTCTGCAGTCTGTAATGGTAGAGTAACAGGAGAAAAATCAGATTTAGCATAGAAAACTTAACATGATTCACTATTCTTACATAGCTAGTACCTAAAAGAAGGGGAAAAAAAATCAATAATCCAAGTCAACAAGACCAACAAATGGCAGATTGATTAATTGAAACATGCTCAAACATTATGCTTCTTAGAACTGTACACTATTTAAGTAAAAACACCATCCAGTGCATCCACCAAAATCTCAACTATGTAAGTGTTTTTCTCCCAAAAATTGATCTCAATCATATAGAAAGAACTCGAAATTGAACACGTATTATAGGAAGTTCAACAAAGCCAAAGCACACCAGCCAGTGCATTTACCTACATCTTAATTTTTCCCATATGATGTATGAATACATCTTATATGTCACAGAACCAAGACGCAAAAAACCGACTAAACCTAAATATAAAGGCTCAAATGCAACATGACTAGACTAGCAAACACCATCATTGCCAAAACAAAACTGCACAATTGGGAAAATTACAATGAACCCATTTTCAGGAACATCAGTCAAAGGTCAAATAATTGGAAATTAAGATAAACTCAACAAAGTGTCAAAAATCTTCGCACAAAAGTCAGCTACTATAATTGATAAAAAATCAATAATGACCATTTTAATCCAAAATTAGAACCCAATTCTGAAATTTAAAAGAAACCCATTTGCAATTACTGGCTAAAATACAAATTCAACAACAAAATACCCTCAAAAACACAATAAAGTTCATAAATTGACACATTTTATTCATATGCTTAACAAAGCATTGAACTTTTTCACCCAAATGCCAACTGCAAACAGTAAATAAGCAGGTTGAACATCAAACAAAAAATTGAAATCAATTCCACATTTTCCTTAATCACAAAAATGCACTAAACCCAAAAAAGAATTCAATTCTGAAATTAAAAGATACCCAATTGCAATTACTCACTATAAACAAAAACCCAGAACAAAATAGCCTAAAGAAACCCAAATTCTAGCAAATATTAATAAAAAAAATGAAAAGGGTTGAGAAAATTACCAAACAAAGGAGAAGAAATCTCTGGAGAAAGGCAAGAGATTGAAGAGAAGCAAGAAAAAGTTCAACCTTGAGAAAATCCATCAAAGAGGAGACAGAAGCCTCCATTGAACCAGAGCAACTGAGAAGCAAGTGTGTGTCCATATTGAAGTGGAGTTAAAGAGAGAAAAAGAGACAAAGATTGAGATTGGTCAAAGGAAAGAAAGTGAGACTAGGGAAGAGTTAAGAAACAGGGGAATTCAGGGTTTTTAGGGTTTTAAGATTGTCTGGGCCGGGTCAACTATATCTACAGTGATTGGCCAATGGCATGTGTCATAGACTCATAGGTACTGTAATACACTAATACGTATAATTTTGTTTTTGTTTCTCTCTTTTTCTTTTTTATTTTTGTAAGAAGCGATTGTTACATTGTTACATGTAGACATGTAGTCATGTACCGAGTGGATAACGGGAATAAGTAGTGACATACTCCCTCCATATACTTGCTTCATTTCGGAATTTTAGTAAGAGTAGTAAAAATTACTTGGTAATAAAGTATGATGAAAATGATGGGGTTAGTTGAAAGACTAAAACAATCTATAAAAACAAAAGTGAGTATAGTAAGAGGAGAGATAATATGAAAAAAAAAATATATATATATATATATATATATATATATATATATATATATATATATATATATAGTTATGATAAAACCACTTGTGCCCGTTGTGGGAAGGAAAATAGTAAAATATTGTAATTTTTTTCGAAAAAAAAATAATTAAGTAATAAAATACGGTTAAAAAAAGGTAGAGCAAGTAATGAATTTTAGAGAGAGCAACAATTTATATACTCTAGGGGGCACAATCTATTATAGAAATACTAAGTGTCTGTTCTCATACGTTTATTTTCAGATTAATTCAGCTCTAATAAGTTCAGTTCCTAATTTCCTTATCTTATAAAATACTTTCTCCGTTTCTTTTTAGTTGACACGTTTCTTTAATCACGTTTGCCAATGCACTTACTCAATCATTAATATCTTTAATTATTGATAAACAAAATTATGAAAAGTTGATATTTTGAAAGTATATAATGTGACAAAATCTAACAAGATCCCACGTAACTATATTTTTCATTACGTATAAAGTACAAAACACGGTCAAGGGGAGGTGTGTGAATAGTGCTAAAGTCAAAACATGTCAACTAAATAAAAACGGAGGTAGTATTCATTTCAGTTCAGCTCTAATAAATTAATTTCAATTCAGTTCAGCTGAGTTCAGTGGATGAGAACAGGCCCTAAATCGATTTTAAAAAGTTACTGGTATATCCTACTTAATTTTTGTATAAAAATATCATTGTTGTGAAAATTTTTTATTAAGGTGGAAAAGTTTTTTTTTTTTTTTGACAAGACGAGCTAAAAAACAACGAAAAACTCAAAAGGAAGCAGGAAAAAAAAAAAAAAAAAAAAAAAAAAACTAGAAGGACCACAACAACAGACGACGCTGACGAGCTTGAGTTGCCAACCAATGAGCCGAGACCACCCACTGACGAGGAATCTTCTGAATTACACAAGAAGAAAACCGAGCAACTAAATCCTTGATGTCCTGAAGCAGCCATAAACAAGAAATATCCCGACACCCCTTGTTAGTAAGGAAAGGTAACAAGGTAGAGCAGTCCGTATAGATCAGCAGACGGCGAAAACCATGACGATCAGCAGCCTTCAGAGCCCACAAACAGGCTTGCAACTCTGACTGAAAGGCCGAAGATGAAATGAAAGCTCTAGCACCGCCACCAAGAACTGTATCAGAATGTGGATATCTAAAAATCCAACCAGCCCCTGCTGCATGATCTTGGGAATTATAAGCACCATCGAACACAAGACAGATATCAACAAAAGAATCTGAAGAGCCCGTGAGATAACATGACGAAAGACGAGCAAGCTGTCTAATAGGATAAGAGACAACCCCGGACAAACGAGCAGAGGCAGAACTCCGAGAAACCCAGTCTTGCATAATATGAAGAATGAGACTAGGAGAAATAACAGCCTGGCGAAAGACCTTGTGATACATGGACAAGCTATGTTATTTTTCGTAATCACCATACTGTTTTCCATTTACCTACACAACAAATGAATCCCCTACCAGTAACATGCAAACCATTTATCAGAAATAACGATAATGAAAATGAATTTATGAACGACATGATCTTATTAAATATCAAAAATGAAATAGTCACAAACTCACAATTTTCTTGAAATTTGAAGTGTAACTTCCCTAGTAACAATCAGAGATATAATGTTACAACAAACAATGACAATCTAATGAGCCTATGTATAGTTTTCTTATGTATTTTCTAAAATACATTACATCACAATAAACAAGTTTTGAATCCCTTTTCAAGTTCCTGGCCATCCAAGTTCTTTCCAATGAATACAATTTTGTTGATCCTTGGTTCATCGGGTCCCCATGGACGATCTGGTGAACCTTGGAATATATCATGAACTCCCTGGAGAAAGAAGAAATTAACAGCCATTCAGAGATACAGCAATATAATAAAAAAAATATATACAACTAAAGGTGTGATTGGCCTCATGGCCATTTATAAATCGCTCAACTTGCAGTCTTGCACACATCATTAACAATGAGTCAATAAATCAATAACTAGTTTTTTTTTTTTTTGAAACAATCAATAACAAGTTTTGTTAACTGCTGGAGTAAAGATTAGATCAAATAAAGAAGCAAATTTTAAAGATTGTGTTACACTGAGAAAACATATTCCACATCATCCATTGGTATCACGTGTATAACTAGCACGCATGAACAAAATGGGGAAAATAGAGATGAAAACTCTGGTGTTCCATGCAGATCTTTCAATCAATAAAAACTTGTAGTGCTTAAAACCAATATTTAGCAACCAATACTCCTTATGAAAGCCTTAAGGGCTTACAAGCCTAGAAGCTACCAAGAGAATCAATACAAGAAAATTGGGATGGGATCAAGGAGGTAAGCATTGGTGAAATAAGAATGTCAATTCTGTTTCATCAAGGAGTTGAACTCGGTAAAACTGTGAAAGTAATAAAGTTCTAATTGGTGGTAGCCTAACAGTACGAGGGGAGGAATAATAAAGCATAAGAAACCATGTTGATAACAAATAAATTGTAGTGGGCACTGGAAGTGTTACTGGACTAATAAAGAAAAGTTAGATTTTAGGGCCCATAATGTATGCATCAGGACTCGAGCTTTAAAAAAAAAATGATTCTTTTTACACATTGAATGGGAAAGGATAAATTAAGAATGGACTGAGCTTAACAAAAATTTATGAAGCCATTTGGTTGATATAAACCCAGCCCCTAGAGACATTTCAGAGAAGTCAAGAAGATTCTCCTAAAGGGCTTCACCAATTTGACCTTCTAGGCAAGAAATTCTACTCTATATAATTTCCCTATGCAAACAATAAGTTGAGATAGGTCTTCTAACAAAAGAGCAGGGATTAGTTTGCCATGAGCAGAATAATAAATGGATGTAGCCTTTCAAATGACAGTGTGGAAGGGCTTCATACCTGAAATACAAATCTTTCATCCATACCCTCAACAGACAAAAGACCTTTCATCCTATATATGTCTTCGCTTCTTTCCAGTAATAGAGTACCTAGCCACATGTTTGCCTGAAATTTAAGACAGCAGTTCTTAGACAAACTCAAGAGTGAATAAGCAACCAGAACTGCATTGATAAAATCACAGAAAAGAAGAACGTCAGCATAATGGCTGAAAGTTGCTAAACCCACAAACCTAACCTTATCAAGGTCCAGGCTCCCTTCACAAACAATGCTGACAGAAGAAACTCCCGGATCATGTGTGTGATCATGGGAATGATGATCATGATGATGTTCTGCAGTTAGTGACAAAATTGATTCATACAAATGAGACATTGTTATAACATAATCGATTTCTATTATGAGGAACAGAGTCCCGGATATTAAATGACATAGTAACAAATAAAGTCAGAAAAATTATCAACATTTACCATGCTCGTGTTCATGTTTGTGTTCATGCTTGTGCTCGTGGTGATGTTCATGGTCATGATCATGATCATGACATTCATGATCTTCTTTTGAGCTTTCTTCTGTAACTGCACTTTCTATCCTGTCAATTATTTGACAAAAAATCAGCTTCTATAGACCAGATTAATCATGCATTTCCAACAGAAATCTTTTTATACCTTCTTGATATGAATTTATTACCCTCATTCATTTTTCACTTCTTGAGATAAGACTTTTTAGGATTTTGTATATGTATGTGCCTTAAATGAAACTTTTACACTTTGTTTGGATAGGAAGAAATGGAAGGAAAAGAAGAGAAGAGAAATGGAGGGGGACAAAATCTCTTGTTTGGGTAAAAGATTGGGGGAAGGAAGGGGAAGGAGAGGGAGGGATCCATTTTCCCTCTCTCTTTAATAACCATAATCTCTCCAAAATTGGAGAGATTTGGAGGGAAAATGGAGCTCACCTCCCCCTCCCTTTCTTTTCCCTTCCCTTCCTCCATTTTCCCTCCCCTTCTTTTCCTTCCTTCTTTGCTATCCAAACAAAGCGTTAAAGCATGATTGTTAAACATTAACTCCTACTTACATTCCAATATATATATACAGCTCACAAAGTTCTCTCCTACCCTCTCTCTGATGTTGAACACCTCCCCCCCCCACCCCCCCCCCCCCCCCCCCCCCCCACACACACACACCAAAAAAAAAAAAAAAAAAAAAAAAAAAACTACCAATCACCTGCCATAAATCACTCTCTACCCACACAACTGCACCACCAGTAAATTAGTTATTTTCTTGCAGGTTGTTTGGATAGGCACAACATTCTCCAAGTAAATAGATCTACTGCATGAGGTATAATGACTAAAACTGGAACCTTGCATCAAGTACATAGATCTACTTACAATAGCTTATACAATGTTATTGGTTCTCCCCTCCCGCACCAACCCAAATTTTTTTTTTTAATGATATTAGCAAAAGAATCATTGGATGCATGTAGTACCAAGTTATTGCCAAATAAAAAGGATAATTGGCGATATTGAAGGTTGTGTTCAGACTTTTTTTTTAGCATATTGTAATTATTTTTTACCAAAATTAGATCTAAAAATGAACTTTAATACGGAGTACTATAAATAATCCAAAGTTTTTGACATAATAAATTCACTACTATAGATGATATTAATTATAAAGGTCAAATTGTGACATATGACTATTTAGAGGTACTTTAAAAATTATAAATATCACTAATCTAGCTCATTTCAAAACATAATCAAGTAGCTTAAAAACTGTATCACAGTGTTATTTAACTTCCTTTTGACAACTTGCTATTTAGTTGTCAAATTATGGTGAGGTTTGTCAAAATGTGAATGATACAAACTTAAGCCATCTATTTGTGAGGTCTTCCTTCCCCCAATCACATTAATGCTTTAATATCCTAGTAGATTATTTGCAATTCCACATATATATCTAATCTAATATCTCTT